GCGAGGGAGAATTAGGAACACGATGGGGTCTGAAGGCAGAATTGTGGGGGTGCGACGGAGCCCCCTGCGAGGGAGGGTTAGAGGATATAACGGGGTCTCAAGGCGGATTTAGGGGGACACAACAAAGCCCGCTGCGAGTGAGCTTTAGGGGCAGGACGGGGGTCCCACGGCAGGACCGGGGGCCACAACGGAGCCACCTTCAAGGGACATGCTGGGGGTCCCCGTGAGCGGCAGGACGAGCCCGAACCCACCCCGGGAGCCCCCCCGAGTCTCCCTCAGCCAATGCGCGGCAGCGGGGGGGGGCTCTGGGGCGGGGCTCGGCTGGGGCCGCTTGTTTTTTGTGAATGAAAGGCGGGGCGGCCGCGACTGCAGCGCGCAGGGCAGCGCAGGGCCGCGATCCGCGCAGGGCTCCGCGCAGCGCAGCGGGCCGCGGATGCGGAGATCGGGGCGGCCGAGCTGCCGCCATGGGCCACCCCGGCCCTGAGCAGCGCAGCCGTGCCCAGCCGAGCCGCGCAAGCTGCGCCGTGGCCATGTCCGGAGGGGCGAGCCCGGCCCCGGCCCCTGGGAGCCGCCGCTTCGTCTGTGTTGGTGTAAGTACCGGGGGCCCCCCCCCGCGCTTCCGCGCCCCGCTCCGCCTCCGCGCATCCTGCCCCGCATCCTGCCCCCGCTCCTGGCCCGGGGACAGCGAGGGCCCGGCCCCTTGGCCGTGCCCCGCACCCCCGATCCGGGTGGTTCGAGCCCCCCTGGCGATGCCCCGCAGCTGCTCCCGATGCTCTCCAGTCCCATCGGCGTTTCCCGCACCCCCTCCCGGCTCTTCCCGTCCGCCTGGCGATGCTCTGCACCCCCGATCCTGGTGCTCCGAGCACCCCCAAGCTCCTTGCGATGTCCCGCAGCTCCGGTCGGGTGCTGCTAGCTCTCCTGAGATTCTTTGCGATGCCCCACAACCCCGGCCTGGGTCCTCCTCGGTCTCCTTGCGGTGTCCCGCACCCCCGATCTGGGTGCTGCGAGCACCCCCAACCTCCTGGTGGTGCCCCGCACCCTCTCCCGGTGCTTCCTGCCCCCTTTGCGATGCCCCAGAACCCCGATTCGGGTGCTCGCAACACCCCTGAGACCTCTTACAATGCCCGCACCCTCTCCGGATCCTCCCCAGCCCCTTTGCGATGCCCCGGTGTTCCCGGACCCCTTTGCGATGCCCCGCGCCCCTGATCCAGCTGCTCCCCGCTCCCTCCCCAAACTCCCGCAGCCTCTCCCGGTGCTCCCCGAGCCGGGTGCTCCCCTCAGCCGGTCCCGGTGCTCCCCGCCTGCCGCATCCCCCGGCCCCGGCCGTGCTGCAGCCCCGCTTGGGGCCCCGTTTCTCCTGCACCGCCTCTGGCCGCGGCCTCCACAGCCCCGACTGCTTCCGCGGGGCCGCCCGGGCCCCGTTCCTCCCATTGCCCCGTTCCTCCCGGTTGTTTTTGTGCATCGCTGCCGTTTTGGGGAGGTTTCACGCTGGTTTGGGGGTTCTCCTCCCCTGGCGAGGTGCGGGATGGAGGATTTGGAGCCTGAGAGTTGCTAAGCGACAGCTCCCGGGGTGATGGTGCAGTTGCCTTGGCAACCATGGGCTGGGAGCCTAGAAGGAGCAATTTTGGGGTTCTCCTTGTGGGGGGTGTGGGTGTGAATTGGGTGCCTTGGTTTGGGTGGGGGACAAGGAGAACGGAGCTGGGGGGCTGCTGGCTGGAGCTGCCCTGCTCCTCTGGGAAGAGCTTTTCATTTGGGGGGGAACTCAAATCTCTCAGCATCTCATGTTATTTTTACTCTCCGGTGGGTTTTGGAGCTGCTCCCAGGAGTGAGGTGATGGTGGGGAAGGTGAGGAGGGGGATTGAAAAGGTTCAGCCCTTCCTGAGGTTGTGTTGTGGGGGAGGGGCTGTGACCTCTCCCCCCCCTCTGTGGGGCCAACAGAGCTCCCCAGTGAGGTTCTGCTTTATCAAAAACCCCCTTTTCATCCCCATTGCTGTCCCCCTGTTCCCCTCCTGATGGCAGGCACTGATCCCACAAGGATTTAGCCCTTAATTCCCATGAGGCACCGAACTTTCTGAGCTGGCTCGGCTGGGGGTGGGCTGAGGTCCCCGAGAGGGACAAACATCCCAAGTGCCAACTGCAGCTGTCATTCCTGTGCCTTCCCTCTCCATCCAAACGAGCTCGGCTGACTTGGGAGCACGGCTGGGCCTAAAAATAACCACAGCAAAGCTCCCCGAGCACTCACACCCCCCCACCTCGGAGATCTCCTGGATCTCCTGGTCCTACAGAGCCAAGCTGATCCCCACGATGAGCAGGGGACTGGGGATGGCAGCACAGGAGGGTGGGAATGGATTTTGAGGGGCTAATGGGGAAGGAGCCCACCTGCCCTGCTGCTGCTCCTGGTTTTCAATGCCCTTTGGGATGAATTCCCTGCATCCCGAGGGATGGAGGGGATGTGGAATGCGGCGACAACTACTCGGAGAAGTTTTGCCTCGGGACCAGCCCGGTGTGGAAGCGCTGGCACCCGGAGTGACCTGGATTTGTGCCACCTGCCTCTGCCTCCAGCTGCCCACGAGGCTTGAGGCTCGGCCCTGCCCTGGGGATCCAGGTGTGCCCGGGGAGCCTGCGCATGGAGGGAGGTGCTAACATTGGGAAGTCCTTGCCAGGCTGCCGGTTTGGGGAGCTGTGGTCCCACGTGCAGGGCTCGGTTGCCATCGTTACTGGGTATTTTCGCTCACTGCGCTGGTGGTTTATTATAGCAGCTTGGGAGGCCGCTGCCAGGAGGGAGCGATGAGGGGGAAGAGATCCGTGGCCTTGGGAAGTTTGGAGAAATTGGGATGTGGGGTTTTTTTTTTGTCCTTGCTGTCCCAAGGGGAAAGAGATCTGTGGCCTTGGGAAATTCACAGAAATTGGGATGTGGGATTTTTTTGGTATCACTCAATCCCCTTGGTGCTTTTCCCCCTGGAAACCACATAAACCCTTGGGTTTGTGCTGTGATGAGTTAATTCTGGCTGATTTAGGCTCTGGCTTTGAGCAGGGAATGGGTGACACACCTGGGCACACCTGGCTGCTGCTCATCAGCTTTGCAGCACCCTCAGCACCAAGGTCTCTCTCAGGGGGGTTGGGGTCACACCTGCTCCTGGGAGCTCTCCCAATCCCCGTGGCTGCTGAACCTCTGGGAAACCTAAGGAGCTTCTTCTTGCTGCCCTTGGCTAGGAGCAAATATCCCCTTGGGAATGGGGTGGGAAAAGGGGCGAAGGTCAGTGCCCCCTGCCAGGTAGCGGAACCCAGCGGTGCCCGCGTGTGCACTCTGTCAGGCGGCTCTGGAAGCTTCTCTTGCAATTGCTGGAGAAGGAGAAAAGGAAGAGGAGGAAGGGAGAGGGGAAAAAAAAAAAAAGCCTCATCTCACATGAACAGGCATGAGCTGGAGAGCTGGGAGGGAGGAGGGCGCAATCCAACGCAGGCCATGTGTCTGACGTGGCACAGCAGCCACCCTGCCACCAGAACATGAAATTTTAAAGGGGATTGGCGGGGACAGCGAGCTGGGAAGGGCTGGGCAGCTGCTGCAGAGCTTCCCTGGGCTGCCAGGGAGTGTCAGCATCCTCCTGCTTCATGCCACTCTGGTGCCCTGGATCGCCACTCTGCCTGCTCCTGGTGGTGGTTGCTGAGGCCTCGTTCCCCCCTTAGGTCCCAATTAATGGATTCTGACATGGATTATGAGAGGCCAAACGTAGAAACCATCAAGTGCGTCGTGGTCGGGGACAACGCGGTGGGCAAGACCCGGCTCATCTGTGCCCGTGCCTGCAACGCCACCTTGACCCAGTACCAGCTCCTTGCCACCCACGTGCCCACGGTGTGGGCCATTGACCAGTACCGCGTCTGCCAGGAGGTGAGGGCGGCCAGGGCTGCTGGGGAGGATCACGGACACCCCGTGGGAATCCTGAGGAGGTGGAGCCATGTCCTCCTCTCAGGGGGGTTGTGAGGATGGTGAGGACAGCCCTGCTGTAGTTGTTGTGAGGCTCCAGGGACTGAGGATATGGATGGTTTTCTGTTCCCGCAGGTGCTGGAGCGCTCCCGGGATGTGGTAGACGATGTCAGCGTGTCCTTGCGCCTCTGGGACACCTTTGGTGACCACCACAAGGACAGGCGCTTTGCCTATGGCAGGTGGGGAGAGGCAGAGCCTGGCATTACCCTGGGCAGGGAGGGAGTCCCCAAGACTGGGCTTTGACCCCTTGTCCCCTCGCAGGTCCGACGTTGTGGTTTTGTGCTTCTCCATCGCCAACCCCAACTCCCTGCACCATGTGAAGACCATGTGGTACCCGGAGATCAAACACTTCTGTCCCCGCGCCCCCGTCATCCTGGTGGGCTGCCAGCTCGACCTGCGCTACGCCGACCTGGAGGCCGTCAACCGGGCACGGAGACCCTTGGCCAGGTGGGGACCCTTGCTCCCTGGAGATGTCCCTGCATGCCCTCCTTATCTCAAGAGGTCTCTTCATTAATTATCTCCTGTCTCTTTCAGGCCAATTAAACCTAACGAGATCCTTCCCCCGGAGAAGGGGAGGGAGGTTGCCAAGGAGTTGGGGATCCCTTATTATGAGACGAGCGTGGTGGCCCAGTTCGGCGTCAAGGACGTCTTTGACAATGCCATCCGTGCCGCCCTCATCTCCCGCCGCCACCTGCAGTTCTGGAAGTCCCACCTGCGCAACGTGCAGCGGCCCCTGCTCCAAGCCCCCTTCCTGCCCCCCAAGCCCCCTCCTCCCATCATCATCGTCCCAGACCCCCCTTCCAACAACGAGGAGCGTCCAGCCCACCTCCTGGAGGACCCCCTGTGCGCGGACGTCATCCTGGTGCTGCAAGAGAAGATCAAAATCTACGCACACAAGATCTACCTCTCCACCTCCTCCTCCAAGTTTTACGACCTGTTCCTCATGGACCTGAGCGAGGAGGACCAGCAGAGCACGGCGGGGCATGGCTTTGGGGCGGCTGTCACTGCGGCCGCCGAGCGGATGCTGCACCAGGAGGAGAGGCACCACGGGCGGGATTTCCTCCTGCGGGCTGCCAGCTTCGATATCTGTGAGAACACCGAGGAGGCCGGACCCGGCCAGCGCAAACCGTGCCTTAGAGCCTCCACCAGTGACGGTATCCTGCGGGGCGACCGCTACGAGAACGGCGAGCACGGGCTGCGGCGGGGCCGGAACCTCTCCTCATGGAGCCGGGCCTTCGCCAGCATCCAGGAGGAGATGGCCGAGGACCCGCTGACCTACAAGTCCAAGCTGATGGTGGTGGTGAAGATGGACGCGTCCATCCAGCCAGGTCCTTTCCGGGCCGTGCTGAAGTACCTGTACACGGGTGAGCTGGATGAGAACGAGCGGGACCTCATGCACATCGCTCACATCGCCGAGCTGCTGGAGGTGTTTGACCTGCGCATGATGGTGGCCAACATCCTCAACAACGAGGCGTTCATGAACCAGGAGATCACCAAAGCCTTCCACGTCCGGAGGACCAACCGGGTGAAGGAATGCCTGGCCAAGGGGACTTTCTCGGGTACGGCTCCAGGAGCAGCAGCCTGGTCCTTTTTGGGGGTTCACGGGGTGGGTGGGGGCTGGGACCTCCTGGCTTTGCTCCGTGTGTGAGGGAGTGATTGTGTCTCCCTCGGGGTTTTTGGTCACACTTTGCCATTTGGGGATTTTTGTCATTTTTTTTCCCAAGAAAGTGAAGCCCTTCCCCAGGGTTTCCTGCTCCCCAGCTGGCCCAGCAGCTCTGTTTATTTATGGAAGAGCTGCAAAGGCAACTTCCTTCTCTCCCAGCCCGGATTTTCACAGGGTCACCCTGATTTATGAGGAGCGAGTGCCCTTAGTAGGATTTCCCCAGCTTTCCAGCAAGCACCATGAGCCACCAGCACGAGGTGACATCCCAGGGGGACGTGAATGTCCCAGCCTCCCTCTGGCTGGATTTGTCTCATGGAGATGGATCCTAATATGGTCAGGCTGTCCCTGGCAGGGACAGATGTGTGGTAGCCCTTGCACACCCCTGGGAGAAGCTGTGGAGAGCGAGGCAGGACATCCCCAGCCTCCCTCCCAGCCCTCCAAGGACTCAAGTTTGGGTGTGACATTTGCTTCCCAGGTTTTCCCTTTGCTGGCAAATGTGTTGTGGAGTGACTTGGGAAAACCCCTTGGAATAGGCAAAACACTGCTGATGCTCTTCCCTGAGCTCTTCTGGGCTGGCAGGGAATGCAGGATCAAAACTAAGAGAAATTTTTGGGGAGAAATACAGGATATGCCAGGCTCCATCCCCTTCTCTCTGCTGTCCCCTGGGGCAAGGTGTGGCCCAGGTGACAGGGCCGGTCCCAGCAGCACCACTCTGCTTGTCCCCAGATGTCACCTTCGTGCTGGATGACGGTGCTATCAGTGCCCACAAGCCCCTGCTTATCTCCAGCTGCGACTGGATGGCCGCTATGTTCGGCGGCCCCTTCGTGGAGAGCTCCACCAACGAGGTGAGGAGAGCTCCCCAGGAGGGTGGCATGGCTGGGGACGGCCAGGAGGTGACAAAGTGTGTGTCTGGCAGGTGGCACTTCCTCACACCAGCAAGAGCTGCATGCGGGCAGTGCTGGAGTACCTGTACACGGGGCAGTTCAGCTCCAGCCCTGACCTGGACGACATGAAGCTCATCATCCTTGCCAACCGCCTCTGCCTGCCACACCTGGTGGCTCTCACAGGTGAGTCCAGGCAGTGGCAAGGTGGCTGTCACCCCGTCCCAGCCAGCCCCTGACACTGTGTGTCCCCCCATGCAGAGCAGTACACGGTCACCGGCCTGATGGAGGCGGCGCAGATGATGGTGGACATTGATGGGGACGTGCTCGTGTTCTTGGAGCTGGCTCAGGTAGGACAGAAGCATGTGCTGGCAGAGCTGGGGGGCTCCAGGTGACACACACAGGGGTCCAGCAGGACTGGGGGGCTCCCAGGTGACACACACAGGGGTCCAGCAGGACTGGGGGTGACACACACAGGGGTACGGCAGCTCCAGGAGCTGGACAACCAGGTCTGGCCTTGGATGTCCATGGAGAAATGAGGTGAATCCCTGGTGCTGGCCCATTCCTGGTGGCCCTGAGCTGGTGTCCCATCCTTTCCCAGTTCCACTGCGCCTACCAGCTCGCCGACTGGTGCCTGCACCACATCTGCACCAACTACAACAACGTCTGTCGCAAGTTCCCGCGGGACATGAAGGCCATGTCGGGAGGTGAGTGGCAGCCAGGGGGAGTTGACAGGGGATCCCGGCAGTCCTGGCACCGCCCTCACCCCCCCCATGTTCCCACAGAGAACCAGGAATACTTCGAGAAGCATCGCTGGCCGCCGGTGTGGTACCTGAAGGAGGAGGATCACTACCAGCGGGCGAAGAAGGAGCGGGAGAAGGAAGACTACCTCCACCTCAAACGGCAGCCCAAGAGGCGGTGGCTCTTCTGGAACGCCTCCTCCTCCCCTTCTTCCTCTCCTTCATCGTCGGCAGCCACAGCCTCCTCTTCCTCCTCCTCCTCCTCCTCCTCGGCTGTGGTTTGAAAGCCCCGTCCTTGCTCCAGCATCCCTGGGAGGAGACGGGGAGGAGGAGGAGGAGGAGGAAGGGTGGGATGCCCTGCCCCAGCGCCAGGCGTGCAGCGGCACAAGCCCCGGAGCAGACGGCGGTGGCCGCAGGGGTGGGCCTGGGGAGGGGCTCGGGGCCAGCCCCCAGCGCTCCTGGAGCCCTGCTCTCCCCGCAGCAGCACCGGCAGAGCCCGAGCAGCAGGAGGAACTCGTGTTTACAGGAGCACGAGGGCTGCGCCGTGGTTTCATTTCGGGATTTTTGTTGGAAATTTTGGCTTTTGGCACATCAGCAGCTTGAGGAAGGAGAAGACAAAGAAGAAGGAGAAGCACTTCCATTTTGATTTGGAACCAGAAGCTCTGGGATGTGGCTTGGGTGTCTGATGGCATCTCACCACCTGGAGCCACTGTGGGGGTCCTACCACCCCCTTCGACTCACAGCAGGGTCAGGCACAGGGCAGGGGACCCCCCTGGTCCCCAAATACCTCCAGGCACTGCAGAATTTGCCCTACAAGTGGGGTCTGTCCTAATTCAGGGCACGGAGGGGACTGGAGTCCTCTCTTCCCTGTTCTTAACTCTTCAGTTTTGTTTAGACAGAAACTTAAAGGAAAAAAAACAAAACAACTCCATCTGAACCCCACTCCCTGAACCTGCCACACCAGAAACCAACACCAAGCTCCCTTGGTTGGCTTGGGATTTTAGCCTGGAAGGCTCCATTGTAATAAATGGTATTTTAAAAGCCCGGTGTGGTCCCTGTGTGTGTGGGAGAAGCTGCTGGGCTTGCACATCCTTGTGCCAGACTTGGGGTGATGCCATCACCCTCCTCCAGCACTCCTGGGACGGGCAGGGACAGCGAGGCCTCGAAGGAACCCAAACCCCTGGGGCAACACCGGGTGGCTTTTCCATCAGACTAACTCTGCATGTCCCACCTGTGTCCTTGCAGGGCTGCCAGGCAGGGCAGGAGGCACCCAAACCTCCTCACCCTCCCCAGCTGGGATGGGGACAGCTCCTTGGAGCCCGTCCCTGCCCAGGCTGCTGCTGGAGGAGCACCCGGGGATGTTCCCGGTGCCATCCCCTCCTGCTCCCCGCTGCTCCTCTTCCCAGCTGGCCTCGTGGAGCACCTTGGAGCCTCAAATTCTGCATGCCCACCCTCAGCCTCAGATGCAGGAGCGAGGTGGCTCCTCACCCTCGGTGTTCTCACCCTTGGCAGCCCCAGCGAGCAGGTAGGACTGCAACTTTCTCTCCTTTTCACACAACCCGGGCACTCACTGCTGCTTCCGAGCCCTGTTTGCCTTCCCCGGGCCAGGAGCTGAGCCCTGGCGCTGAGCCCTGCATGTGCCTGGCTCTGCAGGAGCTCCTGCCCAGGTTTGCATGCTCAGGGGCACAGGAAAACACCCAGGAGTGACCCCCAGGCACGAACCCAACAGCTCCTGCTTTCCTTCCTGGCCCCACGCTGTTAAAAAACTCCCCTTGGCAGTGCAGGGGCTGGAGAGCAGCTCCAGAGGAGATTCTGGGGGTTGAGCAGAGCCCTTTTCTCACTAAGCACTGCATGGATTTGCAACACAGCTACTGCAACACACAGAGCCCTGGCTGGGTGGAGCCCCCCAGGGCAGTGCCACCCCGAGGGACAGAGGGACAGGTGTCACCCCCTGCTTTGGTGGAGGGTAAATAAAGGCCAGGGTGGTTGCTGAGAGCTTTCCCTGACAGAAGGGATCCATGGGGACCATTCCTGGTGGGATGCTGGGGTGGCTGAGCATTAATTCCATGGGCTGACTCCTCAGTGCCACATGGAACAATTGGTGTCCGCTTGGCCCCTGGTGTCCAGTGAGACCCTGGACAGGCCCTCACCAGAGTTCTGGGGGGAAAAAATTAATCAAACCAGATGAGAAAATCAGGAGGATTTTTTTTTTTAAAAAAGTAAACTCTTCCTTCATAAACAGAGAAATGTAAAAAACTGGAAAATAAACTGGCTGGGCCAGAGCTCTGTAGAAAAACACACAACCATGCATAACAAAAAAAAAGATATTTTTATATAGCTTTTAAGTTAAAATATGTAACATTTACAATTGCTAAAATAAATAAGTACAAAACTTCTGCTTGTGGACTTAGTCTTGGGGGGGGGGCAGCAGGAGGGGTGCTGAGCACCCTCCCACCACACTGGGGAAGGTCCTGGTGGACTGGGGTGGCAGCTCAAGTAATGCAGTTTTTCCCAGCTGTTTTTCCAGCCAGGCTCTCCCTGAGCTCTGTGAGGAGCTGGGGTGGGCAGGGGTACTCCCGATGTAACTGGGACCTCAGTGCATTCACCCCTCCGCCCTGCCTGGGGACACAGGGACAGCACCAGGGCTCACCTGGGACCAGCAGGGCCACCAGGGGATTCTTCCCTTCTCCTCAGCTCTGGTCAGACCCCACCTGCAGCTCTCCACAAGGATGTGGAGGTGTTAGAGCCTCTACGGAGCCTGGGAGAGCTGGGATTGCAGAGCCTGGGGAAGGCTCTGGGACACCGCCTCTTCCAGGGCCTAAGGCAGCTCCAGGAGAGTGGGGGAGGGACTCTGGACAAGGGCCTGGAGTGCCAGGATAGAGGAATGGCCTCAATCAGATATCGGGAAGAACTGTTTCACAACGAGGATGGGTAAACACCGTCAGAAAGGCTGCCCAGATAAGCTGCCCCATCCTGGCAAACATTCAAGGTCAGGCTGGATGGGGCTTGGAGCAGCCTGGTGGAGTGGAAGATGTCCCTGCTCCTGCCAGGGGGCTGAGCTGGGTGACCCCTGCACTGTCCATTTCCCCAGTGATCATAGTGCAAGTCAATCATTCCCACTCTCCCCTCCAAGTCCAGTTTCAGACTGGTTCCTAAGAGCAAGCAGAACCACGCAAAACACAATTTTGTCAACAGAAAGTAACCCAAGGCTCCAGCTGAGCCTGCAGAACCACCAAGCACGGAGAATGAAGCTTACGCAGAGATGTTCTAGAAGCAGAAGCCATCTCGTGATGCCAGGAATCCTTTGAGAAACAAGGATGATACAGTTAAGTTAAAAAGCACAGGGCAGAAAAACCCCTGCAAAAGCTCTTCTCTGCACTGATCCTGAGGATATCCAGGTAGTAGTGGCACTTCCGAGTGAGATGGTCCCAGAGGCAGATGGAAATGGTTTGAAATTCTGCATTGACCCAGTGAAATCAAAAAACCAGCTTGGATTTCATGAGGAAGCACCAACACTGAACTGTAACTCCAGCAGAGAGGAACCTGAGGATCGTACTTCGCTGAGGATCAGCTCCTCCTGGTTCAACTGAACTCTGATGGCTTCAAAACAAGAAAAGCCACGCAAGGGCTACAAACAGCTAAAATTCAAGTGTTCTGGGAGGTATTTCATGGCTGTAGCTCGAAGGAGGGAGGTGCAGTGTGTGTTCTGCTCCCTTCAGCTCATTTCATACTGAAAAAGTCCATCCTGGACCAGCGTGGAGGAGATGTCCTCTGCCACCCCGCCGAGGTGGAGCCGGTCCAGGGTCTCCAGCAGCGTGTTCACGGAGGACTTGGACCCTTCCCTACTCAACCACTTGTAGAGCATCTCATAGAAGCCATCATCTGACGTGGCCATGATGACGTCGTTCTCCTCCAGGTCCAGGCTGCGGCCAAATTTCTTCCAGTTGTCCTTGGAGACCTTTCTAGCGAAGACATAAAAGGAGCGCCGCAACACTGTGGGGGGGAAAAGGACAGCTCAGAGCACAGGGCCGAGCACGGGCAGCTGGGACAGGAACCTCAGCCCCCAGCACATCCCCTGGGCACCAGCACTTACCTAGGATGGGGTCATGCCCCGGCACTGGAACCAGACTCTTCTTGGTGCTTCCACTCTGCATCTCCTGGAATGACAATGTCACTGCTGGAAGGACAGTGTCACTCCTGGAATGACACTGCTGGAAGGACAATGTCACTCCTGGAACAACAGTGTCACTGCTGGAATGACAGTGTTACTCCTGCAAGGACAATGTCACTGCTGGAAGGACAATGTCACTGCTGGAAGGACAATGTCACTCCTGGAATGATGATGTCCTACAGCACCCCCCAAGCCCCAGCAACAGTGTATGATTTACGGGGATTGGAGACCCTCTCCCTGTCTCCCAGGGCTGTTGGGGCAGGAGATCCCCAGCACCCCCAGGACATCCGTGTTTCCTGGACGGGCTCAGCGTTAAATCCCCCGAGGACTCTCTTGACTGCAAACGAGCGGATTTTGCCATCCTGATCCCACAGAGAGACCCCTTCAGTGTCTCCCGGTGTGGCCCAGCCCTGGGAGCCCCCCAGGATGATCAGATCCCGGCCGGGCACGGCGGGGCAGTGGTGCCAGTCACGTACCGGCGTCTCTGTGGCCGTGTGATGCTGCTGGCTCCGTATGCGCTCGTTGGCGGCGTTGTCCTCTGCCCCCATGTTCACCCTCCTGTACCACGACAGCTTCCGAAACATGGAGCTCTATGGCAAGGCAGAAACACAAACCATGGTGGTTTTGGGAAGGCAGGACCCTGCCGTGGATCTAAGGGCGTGGATCCCGAGCTTGCAGGAGCTCTGGGTGAGCACAGCCTGCCCCTAACCATGGGATCTCTGCTGAGGACCCTGGATGTGCCAGCACTGCCACCAGGAAAGCGTTAATGGCACTGAGGAAGGGGCTGGAAGCACCCAGGGCACTACCAGAGAGCCTCCTCTGCTTGGCCCAGCTCTACCACAACCCTGTGGGGATGAGCCTCATTCCTCTGCTCCTGCAGCCTTCCCAGCTGGGTGAGCCTCATCCCCCTGCTCCTCCGGCCTTCCCAGCTGGAGGAGCCTCATCCCTCTGCTCCTCCAGCCTTCTCAGGAGCTGCTGGCCAAGTGGGGAGCAGAGGGAATGGGGAACCTCACCACAGCCCACAGAGCCCTCCCCCCTGCCATCCCGGGAACTCACCACCATTTCATAGGGCCTCCTGCTTGAGGGTCTCCCATCCCCTGGAAGATGCAAACAGCGCTGTGATCCCTCTTCCCCCAGGCAGGACCCTCTTCCCACCCATACCACACCAGATGGGTGCTTTGGGGTCCCCTTTCCCACCCAGCCCACACCAGGTGGGTACTCTGGGGTCCCTCTTCCCACCCAGCCCACACCAGTGCAGAGCCCCTGGCCAAGGTGGGCGCTCTGGGCGTCTCCTGCACCCACCTGGGGAGCTGCAGTGGTGTTTCCAGAGGCAGAACGCAATCACAAGCAGGATGGGAGCTCCGATCGCCAGGATGGCCCAGAGGTCTGAAGCAGATAAAGTAGGGCTGTGAGCAGCTGTTCCTGCTTTACCCTCAGCAGCAGCCCCCACCCCATCCCCAAGCCCACCTGCCCTCCTCCCACTCACAGAGGGGGCCAGTGTTGGTGGCAGGGCCACACTGCAGGTCACTGTCAGGTGTGCAGGGTTTCAGCACCTCCTGACCCTCGGGACACCTGGGAAAGAGGAGACAGGGCGGGCTCAGCAGCCGCAGCTCCAGGACAGACCCCCCAGCAGCCACGGCGGCACCCGACCCACCTGGGCCGGCACTTCTGGCACATCTCGCAGGGGTGGTCCGGGGGGCAGAAGGTGCCGTTCCTGCAGGCACACACCGTGTTCCTGACAGGCTGGCAGGGGCTCCGCTCCACCTGATCTGTGTGACACAAGGGACACAGCTCCATCTCGGCCCCTCCGCTCCAACCCAGCCCAGCCACAGCTCCGGGGAGGAGCAAAGCCCTCCCTGCTGTCGAGTGTCAGCTTTCCCTGCCCCACAGCTGCCCATACCAAGGGAAAAGCAGTGCCTGGATCAAACTCCACCAGCAGCTTCCAATGCTGCTGGGAGCCTCATCCTCCTGCTCCATGCAGAGCTCTCGCTTTGCACAAGGGACATAGCCTTTAACAGATGTGGGTCTGGCACGTGTTGCTGCACAGATTCCAGCCCCAGCCACTCTCTGGGGATGCTGCAGGGCTCTAAGAGAGCCCAGCTGGACCCAGCCTGAGCCATCAGCCCTGCTCCCCTCCCCAGCTCGTACCTTCCCTGCACTTCAGGCAGTCCCGGCACCACTGGAAGGCGTTTGGATATTCCATGTACTCCCCATACGCACAGGGCTCACACCTGCCAGAGCCGTTCTGCTCTTTACACTCCTCTGCAATGTAGGTGCCTGGACAGAAAGGGAAACTCTGAACACACAGGGAAGGGGCTGGAGCCTCAGGAGAGGCTGAGGGAGCTGGAAAGGGGCTCAGCCTGGAGAAAAGGAGGCTCAGGAGGAATTTCTGTCTCTGCACAACTCCCTGACAGGAGGGGACAGCTGGGGGGATTTGGGATCTTATCCCAAGGAACAGGGACAGGAGGAGAGGGAACGGCCTCAGGCTGGGCCAGGGGAGGCTCAGGGTGGACAGCAGCAGGAATTTCGCCATGGAAAGGGCAGTCAGGCCTTGGAACTGCCCAGGGAGGCTTGGATCCCCATCCCTGGAGGTGTCCCAGGAAGGGCTGGAGGTGGCACTCGGTGGCAAGGCTGGGATTGGGCACAGGTTGGATTTGGTGGCCTTGGAGTGCTTTTCCAACCTGAAGGTTCTGTGATTCCACCACCAGCAAAACTCAGAGGCAAATGAGGCATCAACAAAAGGGAAATATTCCCGTAACGAGTCCTTAGATCCATGTGAGTGAAGCAGGGCAGAGCTGGAGCTCTGCTGCCCCTCAGGAGAAGCAAGGACATGGAAAGGAGCACGGAGAGGCTGCAGAGCGAGGAATCAGTGCTGAGACCATCTCACCTGCAGGGCACTTCTGGCAATAGACACCGTCACCTTTCAGGTAGTAACCATCTTTCCCTCTCCAGCCTGGATCCAAGGGATCCGAGCTGTCCCTCCTCCTCAGGGTGACAGCACTGGTTCCAAAAGCGGCCGCCTAGTAAAAAATACAGAAAAACGGGTTAAAAACCACCACAGTGCACAGGGCACGGGGAGAAAAGGAAGGGTGAGAGCTGCTGTGCCCAGGGAAGCAGGACAGGAGCTTCGGGATGGCTC